TCCCCAGCAGCACAGCAGTTAATGGTGCAGCAACACAGGACCCTACCATACATGCTGCTGCTGCTCCTAGCCACAAGGCTGGCCTCAAAAGCCTCCAGAGGAGGCCTCCACACCTAATGGCAAATCCCTTCTTGCATGCTGCAGCCCATGTTCCAGCAGGAGCCACAAAGGCCAAAGCTGGCATTGTGAACCTTGAGCTCACAACAACCTTGTTTTGGTCACACAACCCTGAGTTCACAACAACCAAAGCCCAGACAAAGCCATTATCAGCAACCCTGCTGTGCCATCAAGAGCAATAGTTTCCACTCCTGCCTTTACTGAGAGGCTAAGAGCAAGAGTCTCCTGCTCTCACCACTCAGGTATGGTTGGAGCTCTCCTGGCCTTCAAGTAACTGTGCTATTCAGTCTGAAATGAAATACAGGCTAATGGACATCCTACCTTTCCTTTTCAGCTGCTCAGTAAGAGACACAGCACAGCATCCCAGCCATGCCTGGGGCGCAGGGAGAGAACACCAGGAGGGCCATGGAGTGTCATCCTGTTACTACACACCTCTTGCTAGGAAACAGGGCTCACCTCAGGTTGCCTGCAGAACTAGAAAGATATAGTTTGTGTCCTGAAAGGGCAGGTGGAAAACATATTAGAGCTGGCTCTGGAATTATTTAATGTCATGTCTGATATTGAAAGCAGGCACAACAATGCCTCCAACTAGGTGAGCACAGAAACACCCAGCTGATAATGTCCTTCTCCCTTGCCCTCTCTTCTCATGGTATTTCCAGAGCAGCTTCAGTACAAGAGATGGAGCACATGCTCATTTGCTCTCAAGCTTTGTGTGGTGCTTGACAACTGGGGCATGTTCTCAAGCTCTGCTCAGCATACAGGTTAGCAGGCTAATCCTACAGCGTCACTCATTTTCCTGACGCAAGCTGAGCAGGACGCCCAGGTCGGAGCTGCGCATGCCATATCAGAGCCAGGTAGCTGCATAGCATCTATGCAGCCCTGCTAAGCATACCTTAAAACCTTCTGAACGGGCACTCGCCATCTACCTGTCTCAGGAGGCTTTGCCTCTGAGGAAGAAAGGTTATCTGGGAAAACAAAGACTCCATAAATGCTCTAAGTCAGACCAACTTTTTGATAGCTCTGTGAAGTCAGGATAGCAAATGTGGGTGTAGCAACTGTCAAAAGTGCTCCATCAAATTTATTAGCAAACAATTTGATCAATAAAACAAATGAACCACGATTTTGTTAAGTGAAAGCAGCTGGTTACAGACACTGTGAGACGATCTGACCTTACCAAAATGAACAGTACCTGGAATATCAGACCAGCTCTGACTGGAACTGCACACACAGCGGGATGCTCCAGGGTTCCTCTGACCCCTGTTGAGAGATCAGCTGGACTCTCATTAATGCAGGGCTGCGACTGCCATTGAAGCAGGCCCCCTGCTGCTAACCTTCTCACCACTTACCTCCCATCAGGGAAAACGCCTCCTGTAAGACATCCCTTTATATTAACAACATTCAGAATGCATGGATTTCTGGAAGCCGTAACACGTATCTAGAATGCTACTTATTCTGACAAAAAGCTGATTCAAAATAGCATGTGTTTAGTCTTTGCAAATGTTAATGGGCTGCTTTTTTTCAATACAAGCCATGAAAGCAAGAAACAGTCATACCATAGCAGTTGCAGTGGAAATGGGGAATGAAAGGGAAGAGGCTGAAAGGTAATATCCCTAAACAGATGTTCCTCAGTCCTTTGATAAAGAGACTATCATTATATTAAAGAATCCACAGTGAATGTTAAGTAATCACAACGTCTGTAAAGGAAACCATCATCACCAAGTTCTCAGCTAGCTTTGATACAGCTAAAAATCAATCCAAGTAACACACATATACATTCCGTTTTAGAAGGCTGTATTCTTTTCTACACCTCACTCCTCACCTCTCCTTCTCTCTTCTTATATATCTTATACATGTGCGTCAGTATTCCATGAAGCAGTGTGAAAAGAAAGGGGTCTACACATTTTCGCGGGTCTGACAAGTTATTTCCTAGCAAAATCTGACAATTCACAAACAAGACTAGTTCTTTTCCACAGATATTAGCCCAGACATGGAATACAAAAGAGCAGACCACTATGAAAAATCTCAGATATTAAATAAAAACACACAAAGAAGAATGTGATGAAGTCTCTAGGACCTCAAAAATAGGGAACTCTGAAGTAATCAAACCTCAGACAGCATTACATATATCCTGTGGAAGTCAGTCAAACTTTCGGCTATCTCTTCCTGGCAGTGATTGTAAATAGTGACACCATTCAAAGAAAAATATGGTATTGTGGGTGTTGGGTGGACTCATTCCAACTTCAAAGAGGGCTTACTTTATAAATACAGCAGGAAGTGAGCTCTGCTTCTACTAAATCCCACAGAAAAGAAATCAAGCAACTATGAATGGCCTTGTACAATTCGAACGAAAATAAAGCATGTTGTTCAAGAGAGTAGTCATCTTTTATAAGTTCGTCTTCCTAAGTCTAAAATCAGCAGGGAAGCACCTACAATTTCTCCAAATGCTGAGTTTGTATAAGCAAATGGGAAATACTGCAAATTTTCAGTAAATTTTCACTTCCAAAATAGCCTGGTGTATCTTGTTTCTCATCTCACACAAAATTTCAGCAAGTTTAATATTATAGTCAAACTAAACCACTATGTTCAACAGCCATGCTTTTCACACCTAGTAATAACAGGTAATGAAGAACAGTCATGCTCATTAACTTTTCATCCTGACATGGGATTTTTATCAGTGCTGTAAAAACAAGCAAACAAAAACCCAACTGTCTTCCTTTAGACTGGCAGTTGCATTTGTTCATTATATGTGCTAATCAGCAATTAGTTTAACACCAGCATAACTGGAATGGAATAATGGCTCCAGATGCTATGACAAAGAAAGTCTTCATTCCTTAAAAATGTATCTTTAGGAACAGCAGGAAGGGAAGGTATCTCAGAGAAAACAAGATTCTCTGCCAACATATAAACTGAAGAAATGATGCAACAGAAGATTCTTGTGCACAACAGCCTGAATTAAAAACTAAGCAGTACTTCAGGCATTTGTAATAGCTTCCTTGCCTATCAGCGATGGTGAAGTGAAAAGATAGGTATAAGGACTCTTCCAGACTTCATGAGCAAGATAAAACCTGGTTTTATACTTAAAACATTCAATCATTGATTTAAAATTATAAAGGACTGACTTTCACCTTTTCTGATGTCCAGAGTTAAGAAGGAGGCACTGAATGCTAATACAAGCAAACCTCTCTGCGCTAAAAAAACAGGCTGCTGTTGTTCTGGATTTTTTAAACATTTATGGTGTAAACATTTCCTAAAATTCTTGTATGCTTCAATCCAGTCCTCCTTTTTATCTTTTCCTCATCTTCTGGATTCCCAAAACAAAAGCAGACCATCTCATAAATATATTCTTCTTCTCTTCTGTCTCAAAGTGGGGAGGGAAGAGAATTAACTGCAAAGCACATCACCTCCAACCCCAACCTTTGAGGCAGCACACCAAGGTTATCTTCAAGGTCTTGATCTCAGACATCAGAGACATACATTATGAAGAATATAATACATATTGCTCCTGCACACTTTGAATTACAATTTCATTCTCTAATTCTTCTTGGTTGTATTCTGCATAATTTTCTTGACTACTACTACTTATTTAAAAAGAAAATAAAATATCTAGTTCCTTTCTTCTAGGTCAATCCCCAAATCGAACACCACAAACAGCATATTAGCGCTTGCTTTTCTATCTCCAATATTTCAGCTAACCCATATATTATTCCAGGCCATACATAAAAATCTACCTATATCTATTTGTATATTATGAAACATCATAAATAACTGTCAAAATTGTAAAAACAACAACAACAACAACAACAACAAAACCCACATTTAAGTGATGGCGGTACTATATGGTTGCTATTCTATTTTCTAAGCATTTGGGGTTTGCTAGTTGATTCACCAGCTTCAGAAGTACACAATGGTCTCTCAAACCCAAGTCTAGACCAAGGAGGCTCTATACCAGCACAAATCATCCAACCCATAAAGCCAAAAGAACAAAGAAAATCCCTGGTCTTTTCTTGTTTAAGCTAATCAGATTGATTTATGATGTTCCTGTCAGCAGTTGTTTATCTCACGTTTGAGCTAATTATTCGTTCAGTTCTAAAAATATATAAAAAGGAAGAACAACAGTTCAACAAGTACAAGTCACTCCATTTACTCACCAATCCATTTCCTTTCAACCTTCCCAGAGTTCAAACACAGGAAGTGTGCAAAAATCTTCAGTTAAGTGGCAGAACTTTCTGAATAATTGCTAAAAAGAAACTGTGTCCACATAGATCACTTTCAAAGATGATTAAATCATAAATGGAAAAATGTTAAAGTATTTATAACAGTAGACAGAGGGCCACAGGTGCCATAAATGTGAACCCCAGAACCAGTTTCCAGGTTACATTTTAATTAAGAAAACATTCATATATATGTCAATGTGAAACAAAACATTCCAAAATTTAGTATCTGACATATTCCAAATCTAGTTTGCCAATATGCAATAGCATTATTGTTATTATTTAGTTAGCCTACCCCCTACTGCCTCACAAAGGCAAAACTGATTTCGGAAGTGAAGAGCTTGCATGATATGCAGAATACATACTCTCTACATTCCTTCCAGTAACACACTTGTGAATTACGCTTTTTTTATGCCACCAATCAAACTCCCCAAACTTAGTGTCCCTACATACATATAATCTGTTTTCCTCCTCTAGTCCCATATTCTTTTGTGTCCTTCATTAAAAAAAGTTTAACCATCAAGTGAAAAATGTCCGCAGGCATCTTGCATTGCTTTATTAAAAAAAAAACCAAAAAAAGAAAAAAAAAAAAAAAAAAAAAAAAAAAAAAAAAAAAAAGGAAAAAAAACCCCCATCCAGACAGCTTCTTTTGGAGAACAGCTTTACATTCCTGAGAGTGAGTAACTGTTGGAACAAGACTGCCTCTAATTGTTCCAGGACTTGTCAGACATTGTAATCGGGGGACTTTCCCTGTGGTTGTCGCAGTCGAATTTGTAAGGTAGAAAATGCTCCCACAGTCACATGAAAGAAGAGCTGCCACAGGTTGCGCAGTTCATACAGATACATGTTACACAAGCAAATTAACCCAAAAGTCAGGAAGGATTTGGCATTCCTCCAGCCTGTGTAGTATACAAACAGGTAACACTGTCAGGAAATAAAAAAGCAATCCGATTACCACATGGAAAGTAACTTGCACTGAGAAACACTATCTGGTCATTGAGAAATTATAAACCCAAACCAAGTAAAAGTCTAAATCAAACATATAAGAACAGTATTACTGTAGCAGTCATGGAAGGGTGAAAAGTACCTGACATCAATACAAGGTTACATTTTACTTCCATTAAACACTCTTTAAGAACAATTCTCTCATAATAATTTATTACAACCTGCAATAATGAGTGGCCCATGACAAATGAAAGTGGATGTTCCTGGCAATCTCTGGTCAAAATACACTCTCTTACACTCGAGGAATGGAGAAGGACCAGGAGCCAGGGTTAGGTCTCCTTCAGACAAAGCTATGGGAAGGACACGGAAAATACCAGGGCTGTGCAGCTGGGAATGCTCAGCAAGAGTACACCTCAGCAAGAAGGAAGCCCTCAGATACCAATGCAGTGTCCTGCCAGGGTTAATTCTCCTGCAGAGAATTAACTGATAGATGTGGAGAGTCTACAAATACCCATCGCGTTTCTTCAGCTGGTGCAAGATGGATCACATGTGGAGAGAAATACACAACAATTCTACTATAATTCCACCACATTTTAAGGGTGTAATGCAGAATGTCAGGACTGCCCGCAGTTCCCTACTCTACCTTCTTCCTACTACAACCAGAAATCTGTTCAAGTCTCTTGCCTTTAGAGTTTTCATCTCTAAAAGGACACAGCTTTTATATACACATTATTTTTACTTCTGCTATTCTTCAGATTTCTTCCTTGACTTCAGCAAAAAAACTGTGTGCCCCCCACTCTGGATTCCAGCCATTTCTGTCTGCCGAAGAAAGTTTTTACTGTGCTTCAAGGTAGGCAAAAACATCACATGGGCTTACTTTATATTCCAAATCTGTTCCAGTGGATATGTAACCATGCTCACACAAATTTTATAGCAGCATCCATCACCGGACTATCTAAGGACCATTTTCTGTTCTTCGTGGGCATTTGCCACGTTTTATCAGCCAGAGAAGCTAGTTTTTAATTTTTTTTTTTCATTTTTCATGTTCCTCAAAAAAGGGCCAAAGCATTGTACGTTTCCAACTGAACATGAACAATGCAATTTATTAAGATCACTTTATATTCTATCCAAAACCCAATCACTTTCTTATAAAGCACGTACTTCCACTGTAAATGTGACTGAGGTTAACAAAACTATCTGTAATTTTGGGATATCTAAATATCTTCATACTTGATGCCAGTATCAGCAAGATTTGTACATCCTTCCTCCAAAGCAAAGTAAAACTAGAGAAAAGTAATCCACATGCTTCAGAATCTAGATGGAATTTCTCTGAACTTGCCTGGCCATTTCAAGCAGAGCAAATGCAACCTACTTGTGCTGACAGTTTTACAAATCATACATAAAGAGCAATTAGTTGGCACTAGTATCTCGGCAGTAAGAGTTCAGATAATTTTCTAGCACTGTCACCTCCACTGACAACATATGAAGAAGTGTAGCTAATACCAACATTAAAATAAGAATCAGGATATGCTTAATCAAAATCATTAATAAATATGAAAGGTTTAAAATGGCAAAGTTTAAAAATGTTACTGCAACAAGATGTTGAATGATTCTGAATTTTACAAAGATCTGTTCTAAATGAACTCAGCAGCTTTTCGCTCGTCTACATTTGAGATGCTAGAAGATTTGCCAGTTACAAAACAGAGCACCACTCAAAAGGCCAAAACACCTCACTGTAACAAGTGCTATTATGAAATTCCTAAGTTTTTTTTTTCTTCTATTAAAGGGAAGTGTTAGCATGGCAGTTACTGAGCATGCTTTTATGTAGAAGACTGCTCTTGCTACTTAAAAGAAGATTTTGATTGGGGGG